GTGATACATGACGATGTTCAGATGAAAGGCAAGCAAACAGTGGAGAATTCAACTTGTCGGACCGCTTCAGTTTTCATCTAAAACTATCGTTCGTAAGGTCACAGACCCGAAGTAGAGGGGTGGCGTGCGTTATACACCCGGTGCTATCTCCGAGAGCGTGCCAGACAGTCAGATCTACGGTGATTGATGAAATCCAGCGCGATCAAGCCCGACGCCGAGTGCATCTCAGGCCCCGCCCGCTTCCTGCTCTTATGACGATTACGTCACATTGCGGCTGCTATCTCAGCGCCGCCGAGAAACTGTAACTTAGTTTCTCGTCGTCAAAAAAATTTAGTTACACTGCAAATCAAGCTCCAAACATGGCATGATAAGAAATGGAAGTGTCAATGTTCTTAGCACCATTATAAGAAGATCAATAGTATTTCCGCCAACAACTAATTGTTGCCGCTATATGACGTAGCCGTCGTAAGAGCAGGAAGCGGGCGGGTCCGACGCGTGATGTCAGGCTCGATCGCGCTGAATTTCGTCGAGATCTAACTGTCCGGCACGCTCTCACCTGAGAGAGCACCAGGTATCTAACGGTGCGCACCCGAAGTAGAGTGCTGCACTGTATCGTTTAAAATCTATTCCTATAATGACATTTTTGGCGATGGCGATCACGGCGGTACATCTTGTTGTAGCTTGTTAGAAATTTAACCATTGTTTCGTATCACGGATCTGAGAGTAAAACAATTACTTAAAGGGAAGCGCTTGGAAGAATAGCTGAGAATATGCATACCCACATCACTATCGCCATAAAAGCTGCATTAACCATGTCTGATGAAAAACGTCTAAGTAGATTTGAGTAAGTTGAGTCCATTTTCTAGAAAATGAGGTTTGGATTTGGTTTATATTTATTGAAAATAGTGTTCGCTTAGGCTCATTCGTTGTGATTCACTTCCATGCCAGACGAACAACTTTGATTGTGGCTGGTTTATGTGTGCGTTTGCGGAGCGTTTCACGAAGGATATTCACTGGATGGTGAGTTCCTACAAAGTTTTCTAAGCAGAATGTAATGTCCTACAGGTTTGCCTGGATATCTCGTAATTGCCTTTGTCAAAATTTGATAACTCCGCGTTTTAGGGCGAGCCTGACGATGTTGTGCGTCACATGTCCTTTGATGCTGAAGAAGAGAAGCAATTTCGCAACCGACTTACCGTAATGAAAGAAGAAGTTGGCTCTTACATGGAAAAAATAGCTAAAAGATCACTTAACTTCAGCTACGAACGGCCATCTCAGAACAAACCGCATGTGAAGTAATTTTTTCACCGGTTTTTATCGCTCTCCAGCTGTTCACTTTCATTCGTTGGATCAATCTATACTTTCTCTAACTTCATTGCTCCGGTGAACATACCCTTAACTCAATTTTCATTTCACGGTTTCGAGTAATTTTCATAGACACTTACTTGATGTAACCGCAATAATGTACCCATATATATAAGCATCAGTATATGATTTTAGCACTGCCGAGTTT